CGCTACCCTAAAGCGACATCTTTTAGAGCCAGCAGTCTCCTTACTAACGGCCGGGCGGAAGCCATAACCCAACAGTTATAAAACCGGCATCGTTTTTTCCCCCGGTGGTATTTATATACCTAACAAAGTAGATTTGAATAGGCTAAACGTTTAGGACGTTGTGTTGCACAGCTGTCCAATGTGACGGAAAAATACAGTGGATGAGGAGTTGAATGCGAGTGGTATAGGTGACTAGGCATAATAGGTGACTAAAGGTGACATTAGGTCATGTTACTGTTTGGCCACCGCTATAATCCGTGGTTGCTCAGTGAGATTAAACTGACTGCCCATAGACTGGTTACGAAGGCAGAATGTGAACGGCCAAGTTTTAAGCTGAGCCAAGTGAGTATTTGGGTGGTCACCACAAAAAGCATTATGACATGCGAAATGTCATCTACTGTGGTGGACCACAGTCCCTTAATGCCCTATTACCGTGACCCCCGGTCTGGATAGCCGCTTGATCACCTGGTGCGCTTGGCCAAATCAGAATGAACATGTGAGCCAGCTGATCTATTGATCACGGTCGCGTACAAGCGGGTCAAAAAAGCGATTCTACAACTCATCTGTCAAGGGAAAGTGAAGAACAACCAATGAAATCTGTCTCAACGAAAACGGTTATTCTATTGGCTGTTATGTTGTCTCGTTACATTCGAAGCTGGTTCTCCTAATATTTACCTTGCGCGGTGCGATGCCAAAGTGGGTTGAACTCGTCCACAAAACGAATGAGCTTTCAAGGTATTCATTCCTTCACATGTTTCAGGTAGCAGAAAAGGCTGACACGCTCGTTGTACCGACAGCGATGAAAAGTTGCCCGTGCACTTCTGGCCATCTGTGAGCCACTTTGAAATCACTACAGAGTGAGACCGGAAACCTAACCCAAAAAAATTTACCGCTTTCGGAAACATGGTGTCCTCTTTAGGAATAACACGAGAATCGACTCGCTGATGCCACTTGAGGGGGAAAGATTAACCGTAAAATCTAAGAATACCCTAAACTCACTAAGCTACTATCAGTATTAGTTAAAAGCGGTTGGCTTTTGATGGTAGAAGCAAGCCGAATCTCTCGTTTATGGTAATCCTCTTCAACTGAATGGACTGCACTTACCTGGTGAGTCCCAAGAGGGGCAAAATCATTCTTGTATCTAAAAATTTTGAGCAGCCTTATGAATAGTGTCTGGACACGTTCGTTTTTTTTGGTTAGCTGTGACCATCTTACATCGGTAAGAACTAGCACAAGCAAACGTGCAAACAGCGTTCCGTTTACTAGATTTAGCAAACAGACCAATAAACTCAACCTCTTCCATCATCTGCACAGAGGTAGTAACTTCAACCTTCCCACCGTCGATGTTCTTGGGTTGCGCAGTTGGATCATAATCGTATTACCCTTTCAGACATTCACCATCTGCGAATTAGATTGCCTTCATACTGGTTGGACCCTGATTCCGAAAGGAAAAGGCATCGTCATGAGAGACTTTCAGTTGATTGTGTAGAATCCACCGATCATGAAGATGGTGCCGCTCTGTCCCTGTCGATGACTTCCTTGCTGTCTAACAGGCTGCACGACGTTGTGCACGGTTCGAGGTTGTCCCGTAGAACGAAACCCTGGTGACAACAAGGACGTTACTCATATCCTATCCCCGCGTGACTTCATGGTGTCCAAACCATCCGATGCATAAAACACTTTGGTGATCTCACCAAAAAACAAGCCCCGTGTGAATGGGGGAGGCAGCACCGAACAACGCACTGAAGATGTCTCCTCGAATGGTAACGAAACGTTTGCAAATCCATTGCCAAGCTCGGCGAACAGCCACTTGATCAATTACCAATGACATCTAAGTGATTTCAAGATCTGAACAGAAGAACATATGCTTACTTTTGTCGTTGAAAGAGAAGTAACTCTATGGTTAGCAGCTGGATATCACAGGACTGTGTGAAACTGAACCACCTGCAGCCAGACCGAACATTAATGGTGGCCCGTCTGGGAGAGCACTCGAGTTTCTTCTGGGTCGCCTATGTCTTCAGCAACCATGTCTATAGTGAACTCACACTCGCCACAGTTGCGATGACAGTGTTTAGAAGCACCCCGATGAAGTCAACCGTAACTACTGTCTACTTTTGCGTAGAGATTCTACCAAACCAAGTTTTTGCGAAAGGCTGAGATGTATGGTTTATTGGGCGAGATATAATGTTTCGTAGGTACCAAATCGACCTAATACACCGCCAATACGCGCCTTTGAAACCACAGACAATAGCTTCCAAAAATATAACGGCACACCTCCTAACTCGATACCCTCCGCCATTGGGTGTGTCAACGAGAAACAAGTGTCGGCCAAATTTGAAACATCCGATAGGAGGCAACAAAGCATCAGTTCATTCAAAAGCAAAGAAACGCAATAACAAAAAACAGTCCCCGTAGCAGGACAACATCACCAAAGGCAACCAACTACTTACGCTAGCCTGGAAATCACTCATCCTTGATGGGTATTCAGTGGTCCGTGTTAAAAGCAATTATCCAATCAACCCCGAGGGCTCGTCTGCCTCACGTCCGACAATGACACAAAAACTGGAGTTCAGACGGAATGATAAACATGGCCAGACTGCAACGAGAATTCTCGTGGTTTCCGAATTCTTTATTGAGAAATTACCACGCCCTCTAGAAAAGACTATCTTTTGTTGGTCTAATATGGTTACAAATAACGGTTTCTCTGAGCTTATCCGTCTAATTCTGTTAAAAATCATCCTCTGCATTGTCTGTACATAACCCACTACTCATAAAGGTACTACTGCTGGAAAAATTCACCGATCATCACAAACGGGAGATTCAGTTGGGTTAAGTTGAGCCCCTGTAAAAACTAACTTTTTGTTCAAACGAGAGATTTGTCAAAGTCCTCTATAATCTCTTTGCGTAAAATTGTCAAAGTTATCGAATATTATCCAGTCATTCTCGTTCAGTTCTACTCGGATGTTTTCCTTTATCCTTCAAAAAACTTTTCAGATTAGGAAATATCTATGCCGGGCGCGCCTAGAAAACTTGTTTCCGATAGGTACGTTGTGCGAACAAGATAAGCATTCTTCTTTGAATGCCGAACCCAATTTTAGCGGGAATTCCTTGGGTGTCTAACGGGCTTCTGAATCGTACTCAAATCCGTTCACTCCCTAGGCTATACTACGTGCTGACGGTATAGCTCCAGACTCGTTACTCCCATCAAAACCTGCTAATTTTCAAGAAGCACACCAGTTTGATCTCGTCTTTAATTTGAGATGGGATTGCTGTTGCCTGCATTATTCGACTTCCCAATACGTCGGGCGATGCAACAGGTGTTGGAAAGCTGCTCTGGCTTCAAACTGAACCGAACCATTTCATCATCATCATCGAGGCACGACATCAGTGTTCAACACCGATGCTTCACTGCCGAACCATTTGAAAGAGTGCGGTTGGCAATGGTGATGGCATTACTGCAGAGACGTTGGGTACATGGTCGGAAGATTTACTGCTGGGCAACGCTTTGCTTTTTGGACACAAAAGTTACCAGGTTAACCGAGTTCCAAGAAAGTCAGAGAACCATTCGGTGAAATTTCTTACAACTAGCCAACATGATCAGTGTTGGACGTCTGTCTGAACTTTCTGTTTGTTGGTTCGTGTGGATGAGTAACACTTACGACTGATTGGTTAGGGGGTGGACTGTCTTCAAGTTGAATCCGGATTTGGGGGCCTTGTGTTCCCCGCACCATTATTCTTGAGTGTCGTTCACAAATTTGGTTGGTCTGTATGCTTTAAGGAATACTAGATCGATTGGAGTGCGGTAATGCGGGGATAAGTGGATCTTACTATGCTTGAGTTATCTCGGCTTATCCAAAATTGTCCTCCACACACTTACTAGTTTTACGTCCTCTATTCTATTCACGGCGAATTCCACCACCTTGGCCATCAGTCGCCATGGTGTGAATCTTAGTCCCACCTCAAAGTGTCCACATTTCCCAAATCTCTTTTCTCCCGGCGTCCAATGCATCCCCTGCCATTGCCGAGTCTCCAACTATCGCCTGATATTCATCCACGTTTCTCGGTGGTCTGTTAATGCACTGCTTACGCTCACCGATTCTGATGTGCAATTCCATGGCTGTCTGACCTATATAAACCTTCGTACAGTCGTTACATTTTATTTTATTTACACAGTCCACGGTCCCATCAGCCGGAAAGTGATCCTTCGATTGCACCAATACTGAGCGCAGACATTTTCCCCTCTGGAATGCTACTTTATTATCAGCCGTATTCAACACATTTCTAATGACTTTATACGCCCCTGTTTTTGTACGGGATGACTACTATCCCTATTTTCTTCTTGTTCTGTCTTGACGTTGGGAGCAATACCCAGTTTCCGTTTAATTGAATTCGCTCTCTTCGAATCGCCTTTGAGCCTCGCATTGTTCTGCGCTTAAGCTACTGAAAGGTGCTGAAACTATACTAGCATACATTGCCTTTGGATGTGCTGGCGAGTGCCAGCAGTGCCTGTTGGTTTCCGGTAAACAACCGCTTTTAATTTCCCACCAATCTTACGTGCCAAGCAATCAAGGAAGGACGATTTGCTTAATGTGAACTCTAGCTCCATGTTAAACTAAATGTGAGGGTCAAAAGTTGAGATGGTGAAAGAAGCGTTAGCAGGCCTTATAACAACGAACGTGTCATCTATGTAACACCAGAAATACCGGTTGACATCAAAGCTGACGAGAACTTCGACATCCCAAGACCGGTTTCGCCCTTCTTGGGACTCATCAGGTAGGCGCAGTCCCCGAGTTTCAAGTAGAACATAAGGTTGACGAAAACCCGGGGACTATGCCTACCTGATGATCCCCAAGAAGGGCGAAATCGGTCGAAGAGTGTCGAGGAATTTTCAGCAACCTTATGAGTAGTGAATTACGAATATACATGTATCACGATATCTCAAATATCGTAACGACTGGTACATGAGCCGACCTAGTGAAGCACATTCAGTTGCCTGGAAACATCACAAACGAGAGATTCAGCTGGGTTCCAGGTAAGTCACTCGCAAAACCAAATTTGTTAGCAAATGAGTGTATTTTGCTGACGAGAACTTCGTCTAGCCCCAATCTATCTGAAACGATGACTGCTTAGTCGGTTCCAGACGTCTTCTAACTAAGTGATGACATCACATGTTTATAAGCCTTTTTGAATTGGGCCACTTATAATATAAAAATGTTCAATTTTAACACTGTTTCGGTGCCAAACTGACGTGCCACCAGAAGGAAGCACGAGGGCTTTGATACTGCCAGGTTGCCCGAGCCTAGACAAGGGGAGTCGAGAGGCAGAGGTCGGATTCGAACCACGGACCTTCCGGTCAGTAAATTCACGCTCTAATCACTGAGCCATCTCCCCCCCCACCCACAATATAAGGCTAGGTTAATGTCGGTCAATACCCGTGAGACACGAGAGGTAGCACTCTCCACGTAAAATAGTACGCTTGTGCGCATCAAAGCGTTGCATCACTCTAGTTCTACATTTTCCAACTAGTAGGTAAGCCAAACAAGGGACTTAGCTTCATGTCGATACGGCAAGGTGCGCCTTTACGCAATTTGGTGGGGTAGAATTTTATATTCAAAACAGTCTTTGCGGTCCCTCATTACAGGTTGCGAAATCCGGTCGCTTCCCGTGCAAAATATCCTCAAACCCAAGGTGCCTTACCACTGCTGTCTGGAGAACATCCCAAACATAACGTGGTATGACAAAATAGCCAACTTAGGGGTAGGAGAACACTACTTCAGAATCTCGCTTCTGAGGTGATCACTACAGCAACTTCTCTAGAAAAGCAAAGCCAAGCGCTACAGTGCTGCTGTCACCTCTTCGTGCTGCCAGGGCAGATAGTGTGGTCCTGCAAAATCATCACGAGAGCGTGGATCACCGCCAGACATCAACTTGACAAACGGTTTTCACCGCCGAAATCACAACTGGATCTCACTCTGTACTTACCTGACCTCTAACTGCCGTTCGTAAACAGCTCCGAGGCCGACTCCTTTTACCACAGGTAAATCCGAATGGTGTACACCGATAGCTACTACAGAGGCGTGCTATTTTCGAAGTAAATCTGTGAGAAACGATGGCAGTTCTTCCACAGAATCGCAAAGGCTGGGTAACAGCCTGTTTTTACGGATCTGGTGTGTTTGTCTCGGATCTGGCACCAGGACTTGACACTTCAGTCGCAGTGCTTTCTCCAACCCTTTGGCTGTTGCGTTCTATAACCATTCTTTTGCGCTCGGAAATGACAAAGTCGATGTCTCCTGATATATAACCCGAATTATTATAGATAATAAATTAACACACACACGCACGATTTTTGGAAAGCAATTGACCATAATTTAGGCACGCTTGGACAGAAACGATGGCATGAAATCCCACTATCCTGATTTCAAGACATTCTCGAATGAAATTGTCAAATCGCTTTTGTGGAAATCGAGTGCTTGGTGGTTTTTAGTTGACACTTTAACAGAAATTGTTGGATCACTCTGTATTGCGTGACATCATGAAGTGTGAAAGACTGGGATAGTTGTCACGACGGTCAGATTCCTGAAAATAATCACAGAATGCCCGAAACCTACTGAGACATTCGGCCACCACCAAAATTGCCGCAGGGAGGCCGTCTGCTCCCAATAATACGTTCGTGCAGTCAATCAACTCAGCGATCGCCGACTTGCCACAGAATCACGATCAATGATGATGAGTGCTCACTCGAAGCAGATCAGATAGTCTGGATCAAGGTCAAAAGTACGTTTTGAACACTGAAATACCCCCTTGTGATTTTCGCACTTCCTTGCTCGCAATTAAGCGGTTATGAATTTTGTTGGTGACACTAAGGGGGATGACAGTAAGTCACAAAAACACTTGATTCACCTTCCTCCGAAGAAGGCATCTATAAGACCAAGAAAAGCCTTTTTCTCATGAGAGACATCCTGCTTTTGGAAGACTTGGTCTTCTTGGTGGTTACCAACATTGAAATCACCCACTGAGTCATAGAAAACAAGGAAAGAGAAGTCATTCCTCTTCAAAAAATTACATCAAGCAAATACGCATTCGGAACAGCTGTTCAGGTTGCTAAGATGGCTTTGCTTGGCTTTGCAACAAGAAACAAACTCCCAATGGGGCTGGACTGTGGTCACGGTAAAAACAGGGTTCCTCAGAGCAACACTGATTCCAAATGCCAGATGCTTAAACATTGTTATTCATAGTCATCACTGCAAGTTTTCAAAATCCGATTTGTGCAGGTACAAAGATATAAAACGGGAAAGTCAGTCAAACTGAACGATCGGATGATAAACCACGGTTATTGGGTTCAGAAAAACAGTAAAAGTGTCCGCAGTCCAGAAAATCCGGATTGTTTTAAACTAGTAACAAAACAAACAGAAAACTCAGTCTCTTTCGCATCGTTGTGGGACAACATTCTGACGTGGCGCTGTTGTCCACACACCCGACCATGCGTCATCAAGATGTAACATGTCTGAGAATAACGAAGGATGGCGTTAACCTGTCTCACTTTCACCAGCCCTGTAACAGTACTGGTTGAAAATGACCACGCCTATCTTTCTGGTTGGTGTTTGATTCATGTTTCTTCCTTTCATGTGCTTACCAGCTGACATTTTCGTCGTGTCTTCAGTCTAACGCAGTCGAGTGTCGGCTTCATGTTTCCACGCCGACTGCTGTCAACATCCTTCAACCAATTGGCAAAAGTGTTTTAAGTGCGTGCCTGGATGGAGTGTATTCTCTCCTGAAAGACTTTATCGCCTCCCCCGTTTTTTTTAGTCGTAAATATCCCTAAAAGTTAGTAGACAGCGAACTTGGTGTTGTCTGCAAATTTTAACCCTTATCTGATGGGCTCGAATGACTTAATTGATCATAACTAATGTAACGTGAAAAGTCATTTATAATAAACGGCATTAATTGCCCTTACAAGGGCAAATACTCGTCAGTCTGGAGCGTCTTTTTATCGTTTTTCAGATACCCATTAGGTTGTGTCTTGACCGGGAATGTGGATTTGCACGAAAGTAAAACACTTAGGAAACTCGCCTCCTGCTGTCATACGTGTGGAGCACAAAAATGACGCCGTTAATATCCACACACACACACACACACACACACACACACACACACATTGCTGACTGGCATCCAGGATCAGTTAATCGCTCAAAGCAGCTTATGTTAGGGAACACTGTTCACCAATGGAACATCATGAGTGCTCATTCGGTACCAACGTCTAGTTGAGTTCGATTGGAATTTTTGCAGCATTACACTGGCTTCGGAGAAAAAAGGACAGTGATCGATAATGTGGTTAAGGCACTGAGTGAAACTCAGTACCAATCTGGACCGGCTTTGTGTGATTGGTTAAAACCACGCTGCCTGTCTGGGAGCTCTCAATAAGCCTAGTTCCTGCCACAAAAGAGTAGGGACTCCGTGATGAGAGATGTAAAAGTGTTGGAGGGTCATTATTGTAGATTCTATCAATTTATGGTAGAATGACTTCGAAACTCACTAGAAAGTGTACTTTTGAGTAGATGTACAGGTTCATACTGTAAGTATCTTCTCCTAGAGACCAAGTGAGACAATGGTATTTCTGCTCTGAGTGCAGTCTCGTACAGTGGTCTGTCTGGTCTGTACAACTGTTTTGGCCTCTCAGCGAAAGTTAAACAGGAAAAACTGTCGTGGAAAATGTCATAGATGACACCAGACTTCAGGGAGGACGGTCAGACAACTACTTCGCAGAAGTACCATATCCATGAGATGAAATTTGAGCCCGTTTTTCTGGGCTTTCATATGCACTCCACTTTTCAGCGCACAAGCGGAAGTCTTGGACTCCCTCAAATAAATGTTTGAAGTAGGAGGGAGAGACAGGATCTGAGAAGTCCTATACACAGACACAAGTATACTCAATCCAAAGAAGGTGAGACAAATCCCACAGTAGCTTAAATAGTAGAATAAATGGTTGGTGGAAGGAGGTCGCAGGTTAGAGTCCAATCCAACTACACTGCTTGTTCGTTTACAATGTGTGTGCCTTCGTCCCATTTCAAAATGTGTGTGGATCGAATCCCGCTTGGCTCACCCGTGTGTGTACCCACGAGTCAACGGAACTGTCTCCTAGGAAGACACACTTCACCGGAAAGTTACTGACCTCTTGATGTCCAGTTATCCAGACTGTCATTAACCCCGGGATTCCTGTTTTCTATGAAATGTTCGATAAAAGTGCGCAGAGAACATAGTTTGTTATGATCGCCCACTGAGACTGCCATTAAAGTGGTCGCTTCAATTGTGTGATGCCCGAACAAACTCTGCTGCAAGCTCTTCACACCGGACAACATATCAAGTAAAAATATGGATGTTGAAGCACACAAAAACGTGTCCATCGGCCACTTTATTCATTCGTTCTATATCGGGTTACTGTGTACTTTCCCTTCCTATCTTCCAACAGATTTTTCCACCTAAAGTGGGGAGACGGTTAGTAGATTCTATGTTAGGTACAAATTGTCCATTTGGTCGTGAGAATCGAATTCATCGATTCTACAGGCAATGTGAGCTGAAACCATTTAACTACATGCATTATTCAACGAACCCAGGTGAAACGACAGAGCTTTCAAAGCCTAATGGGACGTATGTCTCTCCAAAATGGATGAAACCGGCGGTCCTTTAGGTGACCTTTTGAGCTTAACGTGGGAAGATATCTTCATAAGGATGAGTGGACAAAGAACAGACAAGATCTTCGTTGTGTAGACGTTTTGCCGTTGTGAGAACTAATCACACTGCTGATCAGTCGCTGCTAGTCAAACGATCAACTGGTCAGAAGATTACAGGTTCGAAACTCTGAGTTTCCGGAAATGCACACTACTGATGATTCTCAACAAGGATGAGAGAGCTGTTACAGTGTTCCATTCACTTCTCAGCCTAAAGTGGCCTTGCTGACAGGACAAAACCTCAATTGAACATTACTAAACGAGGGATTCAGCTGGGTTCCAGATGAGTCTCTCGAAAGACCAAATTTGCTTGCAAATGAGCGTATTCTGCCAATTGCGTGCAATTTAGTTTCAAGTTGAACATGAGATTGACGGATACTCGGGGACTGCGCCTACCTGATGAACCCCAGAAGGGCGAAACCGGTTGTGGGGTGTCGACGAATTTCCAGAAACCTTGTGAGTAGCGCATTACGAATTACCAACTTTCCTCACATCACCGTAAATTTAAGGATGATAAGAGGAGTAGGAAAGCCTTTCTAAAGAACGGTTATCTAGAGCCCCATAGTAGAGTTGAAACAACACCAAACACAGTTTATGCAGCCAATAGATAAGAAATACGTGTTTATTCAATTCAAGGGTGACCACGTGGACATCTGTGTCAGACGCAACCTAACTTCGGCTTTGGAGCGTGTTTACACTGCAGTCCAGCTAAGTCTGATGTCAACTGCAAACGTGAACTTCGGATGTCTAACCTGTCCGCATTTCATGCAGTCTACAAGTTACCTTGCGGACATAAATTTGATGCGGAATTCATGGCTGAAGCCTTTTTAAATCGTGCAACTAAATGTTGGTAGGATGAGGGCTAGACCAGGGAATAACAAACGGTGCTACATCGTCGCTCTCCAGACACCTGTCGGATTGATCTGACCCGAATCATGTTGGCAACACGAAACACGAAGTTTGAACGATCCATGTTACGCTTCTGATCAAACCAACTCAACTGCGACAATGTGCGCAAAAACAGATGAAGCGAACTTCCTGGTTATCCTGGCATGGATCAAATGGGTCGCTTGCAGAAATCAGCCGTTAGTTGCTTCTACTATTTATTTTATGTAGCCAATTTCTTCTCCCAGGGCTGATGAGTTGGATAAACGGGACACAATGTTCCAAATTTAGTTTAAAAAACAACATTCGACCATGTTGACTGGTGTTTGTCTAGAGCATAACCTTCAGTAGTAGGATGCTTTTACACAAAAGTACCTATTATTTGGAGTAGTGACTGGATTGCAGTGAAATTCTTTTCTCGCGCAAACGGTCAGATGTATCTTCGAGTGCACGAAGGACCGCGGAAACCTGGTTCCTAGGCATAAAAACGATGAATGATCCGAACGCCGAATGACATGAATGTATATTTCGGGCTATTTTCTGCGTAGAAAGCAGCATAGATCCTAAGTCTGTTGTAATTCAAATGGAGATTTTCGAACAACGGAGAAGTTTTGATCTCATACAGGAAACTACTTTCAAGGTTCGTAATGCACTACTCATGAGGTTGCTGAAAATTCGTCAACAGCTCTTGACTGGTTTCGCCCTTCTTGGTGGTCATCCGGTGCGGTCCCCGAGTCTCCGTCAACCCTGAAATCCGACAAATACAGTCAGGTGAATAAGAGTGTGGTTTTACGAAAGAGTCAGCTGAATCTCTTGTTTATGATATGAGCCCCAAGAAGGGTGAAAGTGGTCATGGACTGTCGAAGAGTTCTCAGAGACTTTGTGAGTAGCTTCCTTTATGAAACTATTCTACGATATCTCGAATGTCGTGCCAACTGAAACATGAAGCGGTCTGTGTGCAGCACATTTAATTGTAAAATAGCATAAACGAGAGATTCAGTTGAGTCTCTCGTGAAAACCAAATCGATTTGCAAATGAGTGGATTTTTCGAAAACAGTCCAAATTGGGGTTCAAGTGGAACATGAGATTGATGGAAAATCGGAGACCACGCCTATCTGATGAGCCCCAAGAAGGGCAAAACCGGTAGTGGGCTGCGAAGAGTTTCCAGCAATTTTGTGGGTAGTTTCCTTTATGAAAATATGCTGCGATATCTCGAATATCGTGCCAGCTGAGGCGGCCTATGTGCAGCGCATACAGTTGAAGAATACCATAAGCCAGAGTCACTGGAAAAACCCAGTGGATATGGAAATGTGTGCAATAGCCGTGTAGTTACCATGTACGGAAAACTTGTGAAACTGAAAAGAAAGCCATGATAAAGGCTATTTTCATGTTCTGTCCACATCACCCAATACGCTCCCGAAGAAAGCACCAAACCAAAGTAAATGGCTATCTTGTATGGGCATTTTTATAAATATATTTCCTTTGGAGGAAATTTACTGTATTCCTAGAGGAGCGTGATGATCAGTTACTAATGTCTCCCAAAAAAACTCAAAAAATTGGTCTTATATCATACCCTTTAACAGAGACTGAGGCAGGTCAGTTGCGGAGATCTGACCCGACGCTGCTCCCGTCTAGACTTTGAAAACCGGACAGTATCTTAACCTTCATACTCCCTTCTGGTTGCATTGTACCGAAAAGTTGTCGTTGTGGAGCAATTTCTATTACCCTTCTTTTGATTTGGATGTGTGTCTAGGGTTTGACTATAAGTAAACGCCACTCATTGACGTGAGGGGTAAAGGTGAAAAGCCAGTCATGGATCTTTGCACATCGCATTTCAAAGAATGAGTAACACCAAAAATGTCCGTAGGTCGTTTGTCATTGATATTTCAGCAAATGCAGTTAGCGCGCTACTTAGGCTATTTGAACGCATTTTCGGTTCTTTGCTGTCATCTTGTTGCGACAGAGAACCTTGCTTCGAAACTACTGGCCGTGAAGCACATCAAAGTTTCAAACCTCAGGATGGAATGAGATAGACTCTAAAATCGGAAGTCCAAGTAACTTGAAGGGAAGAGACGCCCCCGGGGGGAGAGGAGGTAAGAACTAGCGCGGCTTACCGAACGGGCAATATACAGATCGAACAACCGAGGTCACACTCTCCGTCACCTCGCAGTTGATTCACCACACTTCTGCCTGTTGGTTTAACAGGCATCGGACAGTCCATTGGACTACAGACGTCTACGGGTCATCATCATACTCTAAAATGGAAGTCCAAGTAACTTGAAGGGAAGAGACGCCCCCGGGGGGAGAGGAGGTAAGAACTAGCGCGGCTTACCGAACGGGCAATATACAGATTGAACAACCGAGGTCACACTCTCTCCGTCACCTCGCAGTTGATTCACCACACTTCTGCCTGTTGGTTTAACAGGCATCGGACAGTCCATTGGACTACAGACGTCTACGGGTCATCATCATCACCATCATCATTGTCAGCTGTAAGAACCATGTACTCGTCGTACAGTGGTTGTAGCTGCCGCAGTTTCGTTCACCGATGATTGGGGGGGGNTGCAGGCTGGAGTTAATAAATTGGTACATAAATCTAGCACTGTCAGTGGGCTGTCAAGTAGGGGGGGTTGGAAAAGAAGCTATGCATTGAAGGCAACAGCTTGGATGCATGAGCGCCATTGAGGGCGCGACTGGGCCATGTCTGATAATGTCTCTAGCCATTGATGTGGCCCGTCTCAGGATCCCCATCCAGGAAGACGGCATGACCAGCGCAGCTGAGTTTGCTGGTAATGGTTTTTATACTTCACTGCCAAGTCACTGTTTAATCGCCTCTGGCTCTCTTACACCCTTCACGTGGTTGTGCAAAAAGAGCCCTTCGAGGAAGTTGGTCGACTGGCATACGCGGCACGTGGCCGAGCCAGCGCAACCTGTGCAGTGTGATCAGTTCATCTATCGAGGGTGAGTTATTTCTCCCGAATACCATTCGACGCGTGCATTTAACCCTAACCTATTCGCTTCTGGAAAGTGGTTTAGCTCCATCATTCTACGCCCTTCAACTCAACGACGACGGCAAGGAGACGAAAGCCATTCAAGACAAGGGCGCGCACTTTTGTAGGGCAACACAAGTTGTCATTGAGGAGTGTGGACGCGTGGGGCAGCTTTTTCAAAGCTATGTGACCGATAGCTCCGAAAGCACAGATTAAGTTCTCTTCTACCGCATATTTGGGTTACTTTTGGTTGATGTTTCTTTTGTTTAACGCCACAAAACAAAACTGAGAGGCTGCTGTACACCCGACTTTCCGTTTATGCCTTTCAAGTAAAGCTTGGTAAACCCGACAAGTGGCAGCCACTGGTGCGCTGGACTGGGTAAGCTTGGGGGATGGCCCTGCACTCATGTATCAATAGCTGAATCACTGTTAAATTTCCAAAACAAAAGTCAGGTTTTGATGTGTAGTTCAGATAACCAAGTAGCTTTAGTGGAACTTCTTGGAAAGTAAATTGGCATTTGGGACGTCTTGCAATGGGAAGCCAAAGTACACATAGGATGAACGGAAAGACATGTCCGAGGGTGGGGTCCGTCCTCCCTCATTTCAAAGTCAAGGTCTGGCTTTCGCATGCCTTGATATTTCGTTCCAACCCGGATTACTGGGAGTTCTTCTGTCATGACACCTGATTTTAGGGTTTAAAAAGTAATCAAGTTAGCCGCAAAGTTGTGAACTCAACCGTATTACTTGGTCCTACGTGTAATCCCTTCCCACATAACTGACCCCGGTCACGTGATCAATCCGAACGAGTCGTTTCGTTTCACGTCATCTACCGGGTACCCAATAGAATGCAAGTATCGATCCACCGGCTTGCCTTGTCTGGGGCCGAAGCAGTCGCAATCCGCTTAGAAAACCCGGTGATGTGCTGTCAAAAACGATTTGTCCCAGCGGCTGAGTCTGACTTGGTTGTCTGGTACGAATCAAGTGATCAAGTCACTAAACGGCCCTCTAGAATGTCTCACAGCATCATATCAGATGCGACGTGGGTTGCGCTGACAAACCATCGTCCGGGTTTCCACATTTTTTAGTTTAACCCATGATCGTCACTAAGTACTTGTTCAAACCAATGTGCAGTCTTCCGAACTGCTGCTGAAGTTAGCCGATAGTCGAAGACAACAATTATCTGTCATTGCTTATTTAAGTAATTGGCAGCCCAAAAAGACAGTACAGGAATGCGTAAAGTTGCAAAGATAACGTAACTGCATTCAGGCCCCACTAAATGAATTCACTATCGGAGTTGGCCAAAAAAACACTAGATTTCTGACTTTACCTTGAGCCATTCTTCCACGGGTTGGTCCTAGTCTCCTTGAACGCAGTTAGATACATGTAGCTTCACATTGTTACTGTAGGTGAAGAGTGGCGATAAGCCACGAAAGTAGTGTTATGAAAATAATCCACGAATGCTTGCGACGAACAGGTTTGTGTTTGCTCCAAAGCCCGTGGTTTGAAAGTACACATTTTTCTGATGAGACCTAATGGCAAAATGATTTCCGCGGGCTAGCAGTATGACCTACGGGTTTTTGGACCCCTGACACCATCAGTCGGTTCTTTTGCAACTCAACATAGATTGTAGGAGCAACAAGGGAGATGTAAGCTCCAGCAATGAACGTACATCACCTTGATCCGCCCAATCTGTGAAACCCTCACACAAGTTTGACATTCTGTATTTACAGTGGATTGACTCTTCTAAGCTCGGTCGGTTTCGAAGCTTGACAATGTTAATGGATTGCGCTAAGTTCATGTTTGCTGATGAAAAAACTTTTTAGGGGACAATCAGCGAAAAAACACAAGCAGCGTGTCCTTTTGCTCCATCGTTGTAGGATGTTTAGCTCAGCTAAACAACTGCACACCGCAGATTGTCGGACGCTGGGTATAAAACCTCACAATCGATTGCAAATGGAAAGCTCAGAGGACACACAAAAGTTAATTTCCATGCAACAACCTCTAAACGAGATAGACGACTCGTGTGACCTAATAAAATGAAGCATGCCGTCTAATCTGTGTTTCAAGGTCAACCCGGAAACAGTGACCAGCTTCAATTGTACCGTACAGCGTGTTCATCATTCATGGACGGCTTATTCATGTCGGAATGAAGGTCATTCCCGGAAACAGTGACCAGCTTCAATTGTACCGTACAGCGTGTTCATCATTCATGGACGGCTTATTCATGTCGGAATGAAGGTCATTCTTTGCAAGAGAGTTCCGACACAACTCTTTTTCGTCATTTGTTGATGACTCTCTTGACAAGCAACAATTAACGAGCATTATTTTCCACCGTTATCCTCTCCGAATTTACTCTTTAATATTTCGAAGACAATAGAAAATGAAACCACGCCAACTAAGAAGAGGAAGAAGTACATCTTTAACGAGAGATTCAGCTAGGAACCGGGTTAGCATCTAGTAAAAACCAAACTGGTATGTAAATGAGTATTCTGATTGGGTAGAAAATAGTCTATGCCTAATTCAGTCCCAGGATGGCATCACTTACGAAAGCTTCAAAGTAATGTTGAGGTGTATATATACATATACAGTATACATATGTATACATACGCATATGTATACATGTATATATGTATATGTATATATGTATATATATGTATATATGTACATATACACATTTGTATATATATATATACACATATATACATATATATATATATGCATGTGTATTTATGTATATATATACATATATATACATATATATATGCATACATAGATACATATATATATATATGCAGTATGTCCCATACATGTAGTTGTATCTATTACGTATCAGGAGGGACTCAGGAGTAGCGACACAAAAGCGTTCGGAAAACGATATAAAACTGGCCTATGAACAGGGGTTAATATGATAAAAAGCAGTTTCGACCTCTCCTACGATTGGCCTCTTATTGGAACTGACTTCCTTCTAATCTGTGTCTGGCTTTCAATGCTCCCACTATGTGTTGGCGGCTCTGCGCTTGAGGTGGGCCAAGGCGTCACTGAGGTTCTGGTAGGCAAGACTTCAACCTGTCCGTGATTTACGTTTGTACCCCATCACCCCTTTCCCCATTTCAGGTCCAATGTTGATAAGAAGCCAAAATATTCGGCGGTTGCGTTATCATTCTGCCCATTGTCAACGAAACGCGCAATACGTTAGGAACAGCCATCCTATGGATAACGACCCAGTGGGAGAACATGTCAGTCGTCCTCTTCTCCACTAGGATGTTCGATGAAAACTTTCCTCCACTGCACTGCTCACCCTTTGGTGAAACTCTCATAGTGCACTACTCATAAGGTTGCTGAAAATTCCTCAACAGTAACCTTCTTCAGCAACCTTATGAGTAGTATCGCGATGTGTCGAATACCGTAGCGACTGAAACATGAGGCGGCCTGATGCAGCACATTCAGTTGCCTGATAACATCACCAACGAGAGATTCAGCTGGGTTCCAGATGAGTCTCTCGCAAAACCAAATTTGTTTGCAAACGAGTGTATTTCGCTAAAATCTCATAGTATTACTGAGAAGAAGATGACTTTGGTCATCCGACCAGCATACATCAAATCTGAGGTACTCTTGTGGACACGAAAATAAAGAGCCCGTAATCCCTAAAGTGGAAAAAATATGTGGAATTTTGGGTGGCCCATCCTTGGAAAGACATCTGAAAGTTCATCACAGTCTAACCCAATAGCCGATTTTCACCACTGGTAACCGAGTTTACTGGGGGTGATTCTACACTCGACGAAGGAAACGATACTGCCTGACTTCGAATTCCCCTCCCTATAGGCACATTTGTTTTTAACTAGTTGTCCTGTTTCAGTCGAACGTCAACGGTCAGACTGCGACAAACAAGTCTTGTGTACAACAAACTAGAGAGATAAGCATACCTTGCAGTTTCTCCACCAGAATTTTCGTTTCAGTTTGCCAGCGCTGGCTTCAAATTGTGAGGCACCGGCTTGAAGAGCATCTGGTTGGAGGACAAATAAAAGTACGAAAGGAACAGTAAAAATGCGCCGATACATATGAGGTGGATGTACGCTGAGATATAGGAACGAAACACTGATAAGGTGAGACCCGATGGAACTTGGTGTTTGTGAACAAACGCGAAAATATCAACATTCAAAGCATCACTGAGATCACGTGACTTTGTTGACATGATTTCATTTGACCCTTATTTGATGTTTGGGACATTTTCAATCCGTCCCTGAGGTTGACGCAGCCAAACCAATTTTT